CCCAATAATCGAATGGAGATGCGCTCGTCTTGTGTACATCCCGGGAATAGAGTACAGAGAGGTACCGTTGTTTGCGGATGGAGGATTAGTAGTCTATTTTTGCTGGATCCTTTGATATCTGGTTTTTGGTAATAAAGATGCCATTTGCGGTCAGTATTCTTGCTACCAAAGAGCAAGCAGCTAGAAATTGGGAGAAAGGAATATCAGCTAAAACTGCATCCGCAAACAGGGACCTCCCTTAGCTCAGTCGGTAAAGGCACAGCTACAAAGCAAGACCATGCTGGAGGTGGCTGGGTTCGATTCCCGGTCCGGTCTAGGAATTTTTCGGGCTGGAAAATTTCCCGACTTCCCTGGGCATAGAGTATGATCATAGAGGTAACTCTAAGACTAGAAGGTCCCGAAATAACGTGCTCAACTTTTTGGCTCAGCTCTGGTACTATCTTCGGTCCCAAGCTAATCGATTCACCCCTCGAAACATAGGAAAAACCAATAACCCCTCATTTTATCTGTCAAACTTTCATAGCTAATCAAAACAAACATTGCGTACTACTAGAATTTCAACTAGTCCAGTAGTGAGCCAATTTTAAATCGTTAGTTTCGTATTGATTGTTGGTATGATTGTACTTGCCACACAATTATACAAACAATCAATACAAAACTAACGATTTCAAATTGGCTCACTACTTGACTAGCCTATTGGTCCCAAGCAAACGATTAACGTACCCCATTCTAGTCGAAATTCTAGTACTACGCAATGTTTGTTTTGATTCGCTGTGAAAGAACGAAACTAACAATTTTAAATTGACTCACTACTTGACTAGCCTATTGGTCCCAAGCAAACGATTAACGTACCCCATTCTAGTAGAAATTCTAGTACTACGCAATGTTTGTTTTGATTCGCTGTGAAAGAACGAAACTAACAATTTTAAATTGGCTCACTACTTGACTAGCCTATTGGTCCCAAGCAAATCGACTAAAGTACCCCATTCTACTATAAATTCCAGTACTACACTATGTTTGTTTTGATTCGCTATGTAAGTTTGACAGATAAAATGAGGGGCTATTGGTTTTTTCTATGTTTCGAGGGGTGAATCGATTAGCTTGGGACCGAAGAGAGTACCAGAGCTGAGCCAAAAAGTTGAGCACGTTATTCGGGACCTTCTAGTCTTAGAGTTACTTCTATGATTATACCATAGAGGTAACTCTAAGACCAGAAGGTCCCGATGAAACGAGCTCAACTTGTTGGCTCAGCTCTGGTACTATCTTCGGTCCCAAGCTAATCGATACACCCTTAAAACATAGGAAAATCCACGAACCCCTCATTTTATCTGTCAAACTTACATAGCGAATCAAAACAAACATAGTGTAGTACTGGAATTTATAGTAGAATGGGGTACTTTAGTCGATTTGCTTGGGACCAATAGGCTAGTCAAGTAGTGAGCCAATTTAAAATTGTTAGTTTCGTATTGATTGTTGATTATTCTACTTAATGCAAAAATGGTACAGGCATCGAAAGCTCTCAATTAATAACTGTGGAAGTGCATGTAGAACACCAAGTTGAGAGCACACAATAAGCTAATATGCCAACCGCAATAAGCTTGAAATGCGAGGAAGAAGAAGAAGCATCCGCAAACAACGATACCTCTCTGTACTCTATTCCCGAGATAACATTACCGGTGGAAAATATCCATGTAAATTTCACATAGCTTTAATGTGTTAAATCACATGAACCTTAAGCGTCCAATGAAATCTATATGATTACTCATATAGAATGTTTTATGTAATGATTACTTCTGTATCATAAGTTTTGTCAACCGGTGGAAACTGACGATTTTAAATTGGTTCACTACTTGATTAGCCTAGTGGTCCCAAGCAAATCGATTAACGTACCCCATTCTAGTAGAGATTCTAGTACTACACTATGTTTGTTTCGTTTCGCTATGAAAGCTTGACAGATCAAATGAGGGGTTCGTGGATTTTCCTATGTTTCGAGGGGTGCATCGATTAGCTTGGGACCGAAGAGAGTACCAGCATAGAGGTAACTCTAAGACTAGTAGGTCCCGAAGAAACGTGCTCAACTTTTTGGCTCAGCTCTGGTACTATCTTTGGTTCCAAGCTAGACGATTCACCCCTCGAAACATAGGAAAATCCAATAACCCCTCATTTTACCTGTCAAAATTTCATAGATAATCAAAACAAACATTGTGTAGGCTAGTCAAGTAGTGAGCCAATTTAAAATTGTTAGTTTCGTATTGATTGTTGGTACCAAAGCTGAGCCAAAAAGTTGAGCACATTTCTTCGGGACCTTCTGGTCTTAGAGTTACCTCTAGGGTTTTATTATTGGAAAAAATATTATGTGCGTTTCCAATAGAAACTATGTGAAAACTTTCTTCAGTGTAGAGTATCATTGTGCTTGTTAGACAATATAAGGCCACTGAGAATAGCCCAGAGAGAGGGAGAGGCACTTCTACACAGAGGTATGAAGAAATTTCTTATGCAACTGAGTAGAAGCACCGATTGGAAACTAATGATTTAAAATTAGCTCACTACTGGACTAGCCTTTTGGTCCCAAGTACATCTATAAACGTACCGTATTCTAGTAGAAATTCCAGTACTGCACTATGTTTGTTTTGATTTGCTATGAAAGTTTGACTGATAATATGAGGGGTTCGTGGATATTCATATGTTTCGAGGGGTGCATCGATTAGCTTGGGACCGAAGAGAGTACTAGAGCTGAGCCAAAAAGTTGAGTACGTTTCTTCGGGACCTTCTGGTCTTCTTAGAGTTACCTCTATGGTAGAAGTGACTCCCTCTCTGGATTATTCTCAGTGGCCGTGTATACAAATGCACATATGATACAGGTATGTACTATAGTCGCTATAATTATAGTAGGGCGGATAAAATTTTTAATTTTTTAAAAAGCGGAACCGATTCACACAATTGAAAAGGTACTATCAACTTTTATAAAACAAAAAAACTTTGATAGTTCATCGGATAGGAAAAACTTTCTCCAACCCGATGATGGTGTTGGTTTGCGTAGGTGAGCCTTGAGTCATAAGAAAACGGTTTCCGAAGTTTTGTTCGAAAAAGTTGATGTGTTCTTTGCTGTTGTTGGCCGTGATATGCTCGATTGGTTCCGCTATTTGACAGCTCAAGTGGTCTCCGAGATTCTACCCGCCAGACTATAAATATAACGACTATAGCTTGTACTAGAGTCGGTGTATAAGAGTCACGCCAAGAGTGAAGCCAAGTCTACCCATTGAACTGTCAAACCGGCTACCTATCGCGCAAAGTAAACAAACATTACGATTCTATGAAAGCTCCACGAATGGTATTGCAATAAAATATAAAATATAATCGAAGAAATAATCCTAACCATGCAGTGAGCTTTAAATTGTAATGGGATACATTTGATGATGATCGGTAATTAGAATTGGTAATATTTGTTGTTAAGATAATTCGACAATATCAGTGGTTAATGATTTAATGCTTCCTCAACTAAAAGTCATTTGAAGTTGATGCAGAAGTCTTCTGCTGCCAAGTGAAAGGGAAGGAATTCTTTCAAAAACCGTGATGTGAGTTCCGCTGTTTCTCTCTTGTCCTGACTCTTTACACAAACTCTAGCTTGTACCACGTTCAGACTACAGAGTTATAACATGTTATAACTCCTTTCTCATCGTTTTAGAAACCTCTCATTTTAAAACTGTTGATGTTCTCAACAAATTTTGAGAGCAAGAGTAAAGTTTCAAATTGGGATTTACTAGCCAAGGAGGTTATTCCGAGAGTCGAAGTGACTTTTGTCACTAGTGAAGTGAGAAACGTCACGTCGTGATGACGTGACTCTCTGTGCAAATCAAATGGAGAGTTACGTCATCACGACAAAAGTCACTTCGACTCTCGGAATAATCCCTAAGATGAAGAAGCCAAAAAAAAATGATAGTGCATAAAAACTTCCGTATTGCTTATTCATCCAGATTGAAACCATCGACTCCATACCAATATATTTATACATTCTCCCACACTGAATTTACTTGCAATTAAAAAGCTGTAAACATTCGCCACTGCATTCCGATTTATCCAATATTCGACGCGCCTACTGGGATCGTGTGACAATCGTGCTGTTATCACAGTAGGCTACCCGCTGGGCGAATCCCATCAGGCAGGACAATATGGTCCCAGCAGTCCTGAATAGAGGGAAAAGCTTGGGCGAGAAATGGCAAAAGCAAACAGCAATCTACAATTCGTGTATACAGCTCAAACAGTGAATAGTCGGTAGGGTAACAAACTATACGGTTACAGGCAGCACACACCGATGAGAGCAACTTGATTTGAATGATAAATACACTTCACTGGAAGTGGGACAAATCCCCGATGACGATTGCTTTCACAGACATACAGACACGTACTCATTTCCGTATAGCTCACTAGGAGCCAGGTGTCGCTTCGAGACACTTTCATTTGAAAAACATGTTTTAGAGCCTTTACGAACTAGAATTGATGAGCTTGTAGGGTTTGGTCGTTGTTGTTTTCAAATAGAAACAAAAAAGTCGAATCATCATGTGATTGCTACCATGCATGCAACACACTTCACTAGGTTTGTTGTTTGTCGTAGTTGATGCATTTCGGAAAACTTTAGCTTTGTTGCTTCGTCCTGATTGGCAAATTCACAATTGGTAACTCCCCATTGACGATTGAAGTATGAATTTTATTAGATTTGAAATTATACCCTTTAGGAACAAGTAGCATAAAAGCTAGTACCCAGGCAAGTCGATTACCGACAATGCAGAAAATTGACTCCGTAGTTGCTGAGATATGCTCCTATTAACGTAAAAAAAAAACCAAGCCGAATACCTAACCGATATTTTTCTTATGTTTTCTTTCCTTTGTTTCTGTGTGATCCATCGCGTGCGTTTGTGTATGTATATCGAAAAACAATTCCGACTACTAACATACTGCCAAATAACAAACCAAAAAAAAACAATGTATAAACGCGAAACCAGCTATGGCTGCCTAGACGCAGCAGACGACTCCTGTGATCTCGGCATCATCTTGAGTCGACGACCGTTGCCATGTCACGGCAACTCTTCGTCGACCTCATCGTCAACGTCGGCGGCCGGCAATGCAAGTACTTCAATTGGCCGGACCACCAGTACCGTGTCCGTTTCCTCCGCCGTAGTGACACGTCAGCACTCGAGCAAGACAGACAATAGGGCTGCTGTCATTGCTGCTACTGCCACTGTTTCCGCTTCTGCTGATACTACTACTACTACTACTACTAGTGATACTACTGCTACTAATACTACTACTACTACTACTTCGGCTACAGCAGCGCAAGGCAGAAAAGCGATTGATAATGAAATTGGTGGATTTTATAGTGCATTTTGTGTGTAAGTAACTAAAACAAAAACAATCCAATTCCACCTGTCCAAATGAACCCGAAATCAATTTTTTTTAATATAAATATATAAATAACTTAGTATGCTCCTTAACACTACCTTCCTAACATAGCTTTCTTTGTTTGATCCACTCTTAGAAAGTCTCCCACAACATTAAAAAAAAATCAAAAGAATTGGTTTAGATGTTCCTTGTACAAATTCAAACTTCAATCAGGTCTACACAGAAAAAAAAAACACGAAAACTGTTTCCGCAAGCCAAATCAAGGACCGATCGGGCACTTTTTGTTCCAGTGTAGAAAAGTGTTCCCCGATAGCCTGTCAGTTGTCTCTTTCTCTCTTTCCCGTTCTCTCTGTGTTTGTTGTAGATATGGTGTACCTTTTCGTCTTCGAAATCTAATTGTTCTGAATGTCGCTACTAAAACAATCTGCCTGTCCGGACCTTTTAATGTTTCTACACAAAACCGTTTTGTTCCCCTCCTACCCGTCAAATTGCGTTCAAACAAAAATAATGTACATAACAATCGTCAATGTTCAATACGGCACATATAGCTGTGCTTGGTGAAGCACAAGCATACACACACACCTATGTCTTTGTCCCACGATTGTATTTATGTGTATCATTATTTACTTCCGAAAAATATTGATGTTTTATTTTTCAGTGTGTTTAATATGTAAAAGGAAGAAACCTTATTTGAGAGTTGTATGAATTTCCCAATGTTTTTTTTTCCGAAGTAGCGCTCGTTTTGTCACTTTTTCAGAGAGATCTTAGAAATTAAACGGGACATTTAAATCAACGTCCTAAGAAATTTGATCAATTTTTAAAATTACATTTTAAATTACTTTTGACAAATTTTCCGAAAAAAAATACATGATAAAATTACCTACAAAGAATATGAATTACAGAACCATATTTTTCCCCAAATAATGATCACAAAAACCGGGAAAAATAGACAAATTTCATGCCATTTTTATGTGGTGGCTATAGTTAGTGGCCACCGGAGATGTTCCGAAATTTTCGTTCAGAGATGCCGATTTTTTTTAAAAATTTCAAAGACGCAATTTTGAAAATTTTCCAATATCCAAAATGGCCGAATTTTAACAAATGTGGATGCCTGCCCTTAACAAGCAATTCAAGCTGAACATTGCCTAAGGTCCTAAGTAACATTGATCGATTCTCTTCATCGACTTTCTCTTTCGTTAATAACATGAACACAGAACCGTATTAGAAGATAGATAATAGCTTCTTTCGTCGATCTGTGAGCTGAAAATAGCTGGGAATGTCTTAACATGGCCGTGAGGATGCAAAGAGAAAGTCTACGAAGAGAATCTGTCGATGTTACTTAGGACCTAAAACAATGTTCAGCTTGCATTATGCAAAGTTTCATGCAATTCGAGTTTTTACGATTCGTCATTTGGCGTTTCTAGTATCAGTATATGAATTTAAACAAATTTTCCTACCAGAAATACCCCCCAAAAATTTTGCCAGTACCGATCATTTTGTCTATCCTTGTACTGAGAATCTAAGAAAAAAAAATCAGTGGAGTTTTTAGCAGATTTTAGAATTAATTCGAGGGATATCGCCAAGGTATTTCAGAGAACTCCAAGATAATTTTGAGGTGAATAGCATTGGAATTTTAAAAATAATTCAAGTGAATTTCAATAGAATTATGGATAAAACATTAAAATTCAAAGAAAATCCAAGTCTGAATTACGTGAATTTTTGGATTGTTCTGCAGAGAATTTCTGGAATAAATAAATAAAATAAATATATTTTCATGGGAATCCGTCTTGCATTTAATTTAGAATAAATATAGAAATATTTCCGTAAAAGGAAATGTTTCGAAAGGCAAAGCTTGAGAAAAGTCTAACAAAATTCAGTAAAGAGTATTCGCTCAAGGTAGTTAAACATGACAAATTTTGAGGACTGTCTGAACCAATTTCAAGATCCGGAAAAAATGCTACTGTCTTTTTATCTAGTTCGTAGGCTCAATCGCGTTAGCTTTACGGAGCCGATAATTAATTGTTCTTTGTTTGTAACAAAATTCACTTAATTCTATGTCTAGTAGGAGTTGGGCGGCTTACTCGAGGTTAGAGGGGTACATTGTCGAAGGATAGGAAAAGGGGAGGAGCTTGGGGTAGGGTTTCGTTGTATGAATGGTAGTGTGGTTCTAGATTCGTCTGGAGTTCGACCGGCTATGGTGACCAGTGGGCGACGATGTAGATGCTACTGTCTTAGTAATAACCCATTTAACCTAGTGATCGCTTTGGCGCTCGGTTTTATGCTTGATTTAAATCGGGAAATTTTAATCAGGATTTACTGGTCACCATGAACTTCTCAAAGTGGGTCGCAATCATGGAAAGTTTCGGAACCGCTGGTCTACGTAGTTTATGGACAGCTCCTTTGGGAACCATTTAAGCGGCGCCACACAGTGGGACGTAGCTATTGAGTGTAGCATCTTGATTTCTTCTAGAATGTTTCTTCATTTTTTAGTACTTTATTTGAGAGGTAAACATTTTTTTTCTTAAGGAGGATATACACTCAGATAAAAAAGATAACTTTTTTACGTCTTGTTAAAATTGATGAACGTCCATGGAGACATAGGAGATGAAGTCATTTTAAGAAACTTTTCCAAAGATTACAATTTTGTATCTCTCAACTGGACGAAGTTATAGGGTAAAATGGAGTACAAACGGTAGTACTCCCTTAAAACCCCTTTTTTCACCATATATTTTTTTTGTTTGAATTGTACAATTTTTCCAATGTTCTGCAAAGTTGTAAGTGCTCTGAAATTTTTTAACACTATCTTTAAGGGGGTGTATCTTGCAGGTTAGCAAGTATTAGCAGCTAAACTCCACGTAATTTCGTTAAGCAACTTATACCATACTTTTACATATACAATTCGTAGGAGGATCCTAGGGGATGTCTAATGAATGTTCTAATAAAGTACCTCAATGTTTGGTACTTTTTGCAGTTTTCATGACAATTTTTCCAAGTATGTACATAAGGTTGGGTTGCAGCTTCGACAAAGTTGTTTGGTATAGTATTTTCAATCTAAGTCCGAGTTTTGGTGACATTTGAAAAATATTTGGATTTTTGGTAAACAAATTTACATACATTTTCCCATACCAAATTTAAAATTCTCCCACAAATTGAGACTATAACCAAATTCGTTCAAATTTTACCCAGTTGTTGGGGATCTGAATAAGCATTAAAAAAGCAGTGGGGAATCCACCCTAATGTAAATGCTTGGATAAATTGTCATGCAATCAACAAAACGTAACAAAACATTGAGGTACTTCATTAGAAAATTCATTAGGCATCCCCTTGGATCCCCCTACGAATTGTATGTGTAACAGTAGGGTATAAGATCTTGATCAAAATAACGTTGAGATTAGCTGCTAATACCTGCTAACCTGCAAGATACACCTCATTAAAGATAGCGTTAAAAAATTATAAAAACGGACGTAAATCCTTAAAGCAAAAGATAGCGATTTATTTTATGGAACAAAAATATGCTTTTTCAGAGCACTTACAATTTTGTAGAACATTGAAAAAATTAAAAATTCAAACAAAAAAGTTATGGTAAGAAAACGATATTTAAGGGGGTACTACCGTTCGTACTCCATTTCCACCCTATAACTTCGTCCAGTTGAGAGATATAAAATTGTCGTCTTCGAAAAAGCTTCTTAAAATGATGTCATCTACAATGTCTCCATAAATGTTCATCGATTTTAACAAGACATAAAAAAGGTTTTTTTTTTTATCTTGGTGTATATCCTCCTTAAGCAAAAATGTTCACCACTCAAATAAAGAACTTACAAATTTAAGAAACATTCTAGAAGACGTCAAAATGCTACATTCAATAGTTTTGTCGCAAATGGCGATGCCCTACTTTTTTTTTGATTTCGTGGTGTAGTGGTAAGCGTGACTGCCTCTCACTCAAAGGGCCTGGGTTCAATCCTAGTCGGCGCCGATTTGATTTTCTGAGGCATAAAATCTCTGATCACGGTACTCAGTACAGAAAACAAATCAAGGAAAAAAGGGAACCATAGAGAAGTATAAGAGCACCTTAGAAAGACTTACGAGCCTTAGAAAAGTTTAGAAAATTGCATAAGGGTCACGTAGACAGTTGTTCATACAAAAGTTACTGTCCCAAGTTTTATGTAATTTTTAGGTTTAGGAATAATTACGGGGCTGTTTATAAACTACGTGTACAGTTTTTGACAGGTTATAACCACCTGCGTAGACTATCGCCCAGAACATTTATTTTTAAATGTCGACAGGTTATAGCGAGGGGGGCGACACATCTAAATCTCAAGTTTAGATGCTCAACAAATCTCACACTAGCGAATCAATCTTCGAACAATCTTCTTTCATTTGTCGCATCTACTTGCATCGCTCATCAAGTTTTTGCAAGAAATCTTCAAAATCGTCATCAATCTTCTTTCTATCTACTCAGCGTGCGCGCAGGTAGCTACAGCAAAACACAATCTTTTTTGCATCGTAGATAGAGTCGTCCCCCTCGGGTTATAGCCACTTTCGTAGTTATGAACAACCTCTTAGAGCACCCGCACCAATGCGTTGCTAAAGCTATTTTAGCAACCTCCACCATAACGCAGTAACCGCAATGGGGGTTGCTATTCAAGTGCGTTGCTATGTATGAAATGTTTGTTTTGTTTTTTATTTGAACATTGCGATGTATGAATAAATTAGGATTTTGGACAAAAACGTGGACCCAAACGACAGCAAAGCATTCCCCTGGAAGACCCGGAACATCCGTTAATGTGGAAATATAGTAAAAAAAGGATCTAGATTTTTTTTTAATCAACTTGTTGGAATATCCGTAAAGGGGGCCAATTCGTAGAAAAGATCCTAGAGCTCCGTATTTTTTAAATCACTTATTTTGATGCTACTTTAATGAATTTGGATCAGCATGCGAACTCTACTGGCCACAACCCGGTCTTTCTGGATTCACTTATTCTGAAGCTACATGTATGAATTCCGGAGAACTTTGAGATTTGGGCGTAATTGTTTTTGTAAACAAACATGTCAATCGCTGATTTCTCACGAATAAAAGAACAATCTCGTGAACAAACTATACCAAATGATAGGGGAACCATTCATCTACCTGTTTGTGTTGTTAGTTTTTGAGATTGAGCTTTAATTCGCGAGAAATCGTCAAATGAAGTGTTTGTTTACAAAAGCAATTACGCCCTAATCTCGAAGTTCTCCAGAACTAGCACATGCAATCAGGTAGCGGTGTGGTTCTCTGGAAGATTTTGAACATCCACAAAACAAGTCAATTCGCGTAAAAATCCTAAATTTATCTGTGCTTCCCTGAGGTTTTGAATCTTTCCTGAAGTTCATAGATTTTTCTATAGTTCCGGAAATTTTAATCATATTTATAAAATTTTCTGAAGACTTCGCAGTGTTTCTGAAGCATCGCAAAATTCTTGAAATTATTGAAATATCCCATAATTCCTTTGAATTCCTTGATATATCCTGCAATTTTCCTTAAATAAATGAAACTGATATGAACTTCTCTGAAGGTCTCTAGACGTTCTTGAAGATTTCTGAACATTTTAAAAGATCTCGCGATTTTCTTGAACATAATCTGATCGTTGCTGAAGTTCCTGCATTTTTTTTGCAGTTCTTTAAACTGCATTGAATACCATGGAACTTCCTTATAATGATCTCACATTTTCCTGATGCTCATGTAAGATCTCTTATGTTTCTGAAAT